AACGAGTATATTAAGCCGTACAGTGTTGTATATTATTATGTACCTACCCAGGTATATACCGTTTGTGTGTGTGTGTGTGTGTGTGTGTGTGTGTGTGTGTGTGTGTGTGTGTGTGTGTTTTTTTTCATTAAAAATATAACCCTCGGCAACTAGGCCATTGGGTAAGATACATTTTTTTATTTTTTACAAATATGTATTACATAATAATCTAAAAGGTTTAATAATAACAAATGTCTAGACTAAATAATAAGAGTTTCGATTTTAAAGTTGTGTTGTTTGGAAGGTCAAATGAGTTTGTCCAATCCTGTCTCCTGGAGGAACACTAATATGTCAGGCGATGGCAGGACTGGTCCAAGTGCGTCATATAAGTCACCGGATAAATGGTTGCGGTTCCTTGCATCGATGTATGCGAAACATTCCTTGAGGATGTGTTGTATTGCGAGTTCGGGGTTAGGTTAGGTCTACGAGTACGGCCTCATCCTGGGACATAAGGTAACCATGAGTCATCCTGGTGTGACCTATTCTTAGCCTGTCGATGATGGTCCCCTTTTTCCTATTAGGATGATTGTCGGGCCAGTGAACGATAGTTTTTTTGATTTCATTGGGTTTTGTTTCATGTCTTGCCCATGTTTTCTGCCTTTTTTTTCCTGTTCGTATGTGTTTAAACAATTATTGTATGAATACCGGGCCTTTGAGCCCTGCGATGACCGACTTTGATATAACTTTTGAAAAGGTTTCTCAACACTTACATTGATGATTCGGCAGTCAGAGTTCGGAAGCCTTACCCAGCAAGATAGATGATAATATCAGACTATTATCTTGAAGACCCACTGGCGGCGTTTCGTAGCTTCTGCAAGGTATAATATGACATTTGATGGGGAGTGGGTGATTGGATGTTGAGTGATTAATAATTATTTACTGTACAACGACTCGTTATAAAGTGTAACATAATTTTAAAATATATATTATAATGATATATATTCCACTGTAATGAGTCACTGTGTAATTATTAATTACCCTACATAATATTATTATTAGCATGAATCGAAAACGAGCAGTCAAACATTTAAAACGCCAAAGCATAGCGCAAAAAGAGACGAAATAATAAAAAAATTATTTATAGTAATTGGATGTATGAAATATGAATATTCGGAGAAAATTTCGAGTCTACGCAGTTCGATATTCATTTTTGAGGTAAAACAAAAAACAATATTTGAAAAGTGTCAGACAATTTTTTAAAAATATTACACAAATTAAAATTTGACACCATCTTAAAAAAACTGAAAACATATGTGTGACCTTCTGACTGAATAATGGTGGTGCATTGACGTATTTTTTGTTCTAGCGGTTGACATAGTGGAATACACATTTATCCAGTTTTTTCAAACAAATTTAGCCACCCTTCGTATTATTTTGAGGATAGCCGCCACTGCAACTGTCTTGAACGGCGTGGCAAATGAAACAAAACATTGATTAAACACTAATTTCTCATTGATTAACTTTAATGGTACTTAAAACGTTTGGACAATGTGCGAATACGTAATAAGTAGGTATGGTAAAAAAAAAAAAACAACAACAAAAAAGCAGTCCAATTAACGTTATACTCGAATATGATTTGATATTTCCCGAACATTTTGATTGTTAGTAATTATGACAATGATGTATTGATGTACTTATTAGTTATTATTAATGGTACCCATTATACCCGTTATCCAGTATCCGACGTACCATAAATAATTCCAAAGATATTATCAAGTTAAAATTATTATCAACAGTACAACAATATCCATTCAAAGATTACCTTAGATAATTCTTTTTCCCAACTTGGACTTTGGAGTGTGTTTTTGTACTAAGTAGTTATATCGTATATTATATAATAATATTAAAACATTAAATTTGTATACTTTGTGAATGTTTGAGTGACGGTAAATTATACGTTTGTTATTTTAATTGAATTGTGTATGGTACCTTTGTCGTTTCTGGTTCTAAGACAAGATACTAATATTTGAAAACAAACAAACCACGAGAAAAATTAAACTCTGAACATATTGATCTATTTTGAATAATTTTTTGTTTATGGTAGGCATGCATATACTTTGAAAAGTAAAATCTGCTCTTTTATTTTGCTAAAAGGTTGGAAATATTGTGTGTTATATTATGTGTCTAGATGACTATATATGGCGAGTAAGTTAATATGAAATCATTGTTCAAGCTCGTTTTGACATTAATTGAGTTACTATGATAATCAAGCTATGTCAATAAACAAACAAATTAATTGTGACTATCAATTATTTCTCATTTAAATTATTAAATTAAACGCATCGTCGGATAAGATAATTATAATATCTTTCTAGGGCTTTCAAATTCAATATTATTAAAGATCGATACAGATTAATAGTAAAGCCAGTAAATAGTTTTGTTCTAATATGACTATTATTACACAATGTATTATATTTCACTTCTTGGCTTGCATATAATTATAAATTAGTGATAATAATACGTAGGTAGGTACAATGTACATGATATTACTAATAATAATAATTAGTGTGTTCATATTCGATTAAAATAGATAGACATTTATATTTAACTATCAATTAAAAGGTTGGACTATTTTTCTGGTTGAGTGGAAATGTATTATTCAATGATTAAAATGTATAAATAAAAGGGTATTGCACATACTATGCCCAACGACAATAAGCAGAACAATATTATATATTACGAAAGTGCACGCATTCCGATACATGTACGTATGCAACTCGTATGAAAAAAAATAGTTGCCTTATGATGTTCAACGTCATTATCGATAGTAGAATAGATAATAATTTGTAATATTAGGCACATCAAAATACATCAAAATAATTGATTTATTGATTAGTTTTAATCGCATACATATAACTTATGTATAATGTGTATGCACCTTGTGACGTGTATTAGTTCTGATGTTGTGTGCACATGCCTCGGTAAAAAAAATAATAATAAAAATAAAAAAATACACGCTTTGGCAACAATATATCGATAATAAATTAAAATATTACATAAAATGAATGGATCTAAGATTGTAGGTGTGTATGTATTAAGTTTATGATGTTAATAATAATTATTTTACTCGATTTTTTAAGCTTATATACGACCTCGTTCGAATAATGATATCCGATTGTTGAAGGGCTTATTACAATGATTCAAGCGATTTGGGTTTTACTCACATACGGTAAATCGTAGAAATTGCGGTTTGCACCAGCTCTCGGTGCGTTGTAGGTACTCATTAAAATAAAGAACGAATGTGGGTCCTTAAAACGAATACCTCGATGGGCCGTCATTTTGTGGGTTCTTATTTGGCAGAATTTATGTGTAGGAGTCATGTTATAACAGCCCATTTGAGTCTATTTTTCCTCGACGCCACAACATTTTAACAATTTTCACTATTTCTGTATTTTATTCGATTTCAACAGGAGACAGGTGTCTAAATTAAGACGCATCGACGTCTAAATTCGGCTGGATTCTGGATTATAATCAGTTCACTCCATTATTTATCGTCGTCTAAAAAATTAAAACAGCTACACACACACATACACACACACACACACACACACATACATACACACACTACTTTCTACTCCCAAAGTCCATCACAAAACGACGATTTGGAAATATTGGAAACTAATACAGTGACAGTTATGTATATACTCTAGTCTATTTACGTAATTTATCATTACCGTTATTATTATTATTTTTTTATTTATTACTAAAACACGAATATACAACTTATACTGTATATTTCTATAGTTTTTTCGTATTAAAGTCGGCACAAGTGTTGGCACAATGTTAAAACAAAAAAAAAAATGGCTGGCTCAAAATATAGACGATTACATGAATTATGTTATTATGAACGATAGAAATAATAACTGGCTCGTCATATGCTTTTCATAATATTATGCATTTTTCAATGACAATATCATTATAATGATATTAATTGGAATACGATTAACGGTCAACGGTTTCTGACACGTTGGATAAAATCTCGAAGAATGTATAGTGATAAAATAAATCGTATAATATTTTACATGGGCAACTATATTATTCAAAATAAATCGTATTAAATTCTTTAAAATATTTGATGTTGCCGTGCTGGTACTTGTGAGGTCACGGGTGGTGACTAATAATGATAGGCTCAATCGACTCACTCGCGGCAGTAGTCATATACATATATATTGTACCAATCGATCGTTTAGTTATTATCCAGTACAGTGAACGAACAATTTGAGTTCTCAATTTTCCGCATACAATATTGTGCACGTGGACTTGAGACGTACGTTATGCGTTATGAACGACGTTAAAAAAATATAAGCTGTGTACGTGTGACGTGGAATTGAGCGTTAAAATCCTGACTGATGGAGTGTTTTTTTGGCAGATATCTGAAACACTATGGACCCGTACAAACCGTAAACCGCGATCGAACGCTGCAACTGTGCAGCCGACAATAAAATATAATATTGTACTGTTGTAAAGTTGCAAGCCGGGTGCGGTCTATAAATAGTATAAAATAATATTATTTTAGTTTAGGAATGTATAAAAAAAAAAAAAAATAAAAAAAAAATTACAAGGTCAGATCGGCGATTTCGATGGGATACGGTCGGCTCCGGAGTGAAATCTGTCGCTAAACATATCATAATAATTCATAATATACTCTGCTGGATTCATATATTTATTATAAACGCCGTTCAGCCGCATTTCGGTCACAATAATACTATAACAATCGTATAATATATTACAACGCAGGACTATACGACGGCAACAATATACTGATACCGATACCGACTGTAAGGACGCAGTATAAATCACATCAAAGGACCACCAAAACGCGATGCCGTCGTGTGTCATCGCGACATGGGCGCGAACCGTTTAATTCACGATTTGTGTATACGTGTGTTCTGTCGTAATGTTCGTGAGTGGGGTGTCGACCTCGCAGACTCGACTACCGATCTATCATCGGATCACCGGCCGACGGTACCCGTGGTAGATCAAAACCAGCTGTCGACGTTAGAACACGTTATTACTGCTGCTGCCGTGTGCTCGAAAAATACGGCGATATCGTTCTGATAACAGAAAATAAAAAAAAACGATACGGAACTGGTAATACACGTAAGACAAAATATAACGAATATAATACACATTGTTATTGTTATCGTATTGAAATCATGAACGTTTAACCGACCACCACCGCCGCGGAAAATAATATCGGAGACATGGGTAAGTCGATTTCAGCACTTTTTCTTATCTTTTTTATCATATTAGTCGCATATATATATAGTCACCTACTTTTACTGCAACACCGCGGGCAACACTTTACACCTACATTTCGACATACCTACCTATATAGTTTTTATTGATCGGTACATCGAACAACCGACTTTTAGTCGTCAACAGCTCCCGTTTCCCGATGTCCGGTATATTTTACTGCGACACGAATTCCTACATATTATTATTATGACGTCCAAGTGCCCGTGGTTATTAACGAAAAAATATTCGACTCATTTGGATTATTATACACGTCGACGACGATGATGATAATAATATTATAATATGTAATCCGATAAATAAAACCTACCAATATCGTTTTGTTTTCATATATACGATAGTTAAACAACGTAGGTAAATATTGTAAGTATACTTTTCGAGTTTGGAGTCTTTAAAAATAAAACTTGACGTTTCGACTAAGTTATATTGTGGTTAATTTTTTTTAAGTTATTTAAGACTTTATAATTTTACCAGGTGACCCATTTTTCATACTGTGTATTACTCGGTCGTAAGTTGTTAGAAATTTGCTGCTTGATAAATGAGTAGTAACCAACTGGTATATAATTACCTACCTACATAAGAACTTTGTAAGTTAGGTTTAATTTTGACTCGATATTAATTATAATATAACGAGATTATGTTTTAATGGCAATTAAACGAGTAAGTAGTCAAACTTGTTCAAACTATGAACATTTGCAATCTGAAAAACACCAAACACGATTTTGTTCGTTTTCACTCACGTACAGCGTATGGTGCACGAATGTTGAAACCTTATTTATTTTATAAAATGCTTGTAAAAGGACAATATCATAGCAACAGATCTACTTGCAAGCTTCCTTTGAACGTAGACAAACGGACATAATATCTACTTGTCTTTCGTGTCAAACAGTAATTATTATTATTATTATTATTATTATTTAAATTTAAGGTAAGGCTTCCAAATCATTGGTTATTAGCCTAGTAATTATTAACTAGTTTTTAATAATGTTATTCAGTTTTCGGAGAAAAAAAATCAAACAAAATTCTATCTCCACCAGTAAAAAGTGTAAGACCGACTAACGACCTTCGTTTCGGAAATTACCGAAGACCGTTTTTTTATCCGTCTTTATCCACCGTACTATTACAAATTAAAAAAAAACAAAGAAGATACCTTTACGGTTTACCTTTACCTCTACCTTTACCTTTATTGAAGGTATTATATATATATATATATTATATATTGTACGATAATACGTAATGCATGTGTGTGTCGGAATGTTACGTACAAAACTACATATTTTAGTCGACGATTCCTACGAAGGGAACATATTTTCTTCTATTATACAACCGGTTTGGTGAAGAGGTTAAGGCTGTAAATTGCGATACTACAATAATAGTTTGTGAAAAGTAGATAAATATTCGATATCGACAATGATACACGTAATTGCGTAATACATTAATCGCTCCGAACGAATAAGGTGCAAAAATTAATAAGTAATTACTACAACAAGACAATCGTATTATTGCAGTAACCAAGAAGTCGATCAACACGATGATGTTTCAGAAGACTATGTGCAATCGTCTTCAACCGAATTCATCGTTCGAAACGGTCATGTTTGTAAACACACTTTAATTAAACATTAAAAAATAACCATGAAAACGTATGTGTTTAAGTCCATAGGTGCATACATATTTAATACGTACCTACGAACTACGTGCAACGTCATTCGGATGTACTTAAGCCACAAGGACAAGGGCATAGGAGTTTATTTTTCTCAAATTAAAATATTATCTCTGTAGGGTCATGTTATTATGTTTAATCCGAAATACGGTTTTGAATTATCCATGCTCGACAAGTTATTATAACATTTTAATTTGGAAACATGGAATTCCATAATGTTTTGGTTTTTAAACATTGAAAGTGGTACATGGTACCAGGACGATATTGTGTTGTACTATATACTTGACGATAGTATCGGTTGTCAGTGATCACAATAATGATACATGGAAATTGGAATATAATAATGTAATGAGAGTCAAATATCTGAAATATAATGTGCATTTGCTTTCTAACAGTTGTGGTATAAGGTAGTAGAGTATTATAATACGATAAGATCAATATTATAATTTGTTATGCTTTAAATTTTTTAGTATCTAAAATTTAATAATTACACGTTTGTAAATATTTTTTTTGAACACCAATTAGTTTAAGACGACCAAGTAAAATTATCGTGCATACTTAAATTTGTTTTATTTAAAAAAAAAAAAACTTTTTAATTCTAAAGACTAAAATTATTTCTTTTCTTGATGGTTATGAGACCACAAACTTTTACATTTCAAAAGACAACTTATAATTATTGTAATTATAAATCATCAAAGAAATTATAATTTTTAAAAGTATTTCATGCTAATCTAATAAAGTTCTACGATTATTTAAAGTTTTGATTGTGGGTTGGTATTTACACAAACATATTAATACTACCTACCCTTTCATTCAACTGGCGTCAGTACACATCATAACAGCGTTTATTAATCGTAATAGTAATTAATTTACAGTGCATTGTTTTTATATTGAACTTACAGAGCAGTATTGAATATTCAATATCGATTTAAACTTGTCTAAAACAATAATTATTATTTTTACCTTCATTTTCCGTTGCGTTGTTTAGCATTATTTTGCAATTGACTTAACTAAGAATTAGAAATCATCGAAATACGAAATTAAATACCTATGCAGAGAATCGGAAACTACATTTTTACGACGCATATAATATGGGCGAAAGAAATTATTGTTTTAAATGGTCTGATAAACTAAAGATGAACAATGTTTTGGTCGATGTTTGAAAGAACGGATGAAGATGACGTGCTATTAAGTCGGGGGAAAAGTGCAAACACCGTATACAACATAATATCATACTTGGCAGCTATAAGTAAGCTATAGTGTCATTTCGGAGCAGTAGAACAATATTAGGTTTAATACTCCAAAGTGAGTCGATTACATCATGGCATTGTCCATTACTAAATAACTAGTTAATGCTGTTGCCAAATATTTTAACTGAAAATATAAATGCGCTGAGGCTTCAGTAGAAACAATAAACGTCGTTTACAACTGAGTTTAGACCTTGAATAAATAATATACGTAAATAATGGCATATAACATGATATTAATATGAATTATATTTTTAATAAATTTCGCAATACAGATAAATAAAAATGGGCACAATAACTGAAAAAAAAACAATTAATAATAAATAAAAGAATTCGAATAATTATCAGTAAATTAAAAAAAACGAATTACTTGTACTTTCAACAAAATGATGTTTTCACTGCGAATTTGAATTTAGTTATTTAAAAAACATTTTCGATAAACACAAAACGTTGTCCCTTTTTATAAGCTAAAATTATTTTCTATAATTAATATAGTAATTAAGTCACCGGATGTCTTTCACACTCACTAAATGTTCTAGATTGGATACTATAATATTACTATATATCTGGGTATACAAAATATATAATAAATAATAATATAAAGACAATATTAAGTATTACATTTAATATATGACTTGAAAATGCATCTACGATCTACGAACTTCTTAATCACTAATGATGATGTAATGTTAAATTTCAAAAATTTAATTTTTGAGGGATTTTTAACAGGATATTTTTTTGGGCATTTGTTAATTTGCAAATAAAATCTAATTGCATATATTTTCGATATGGAACCTAAAAACCCATCCTAAATTTTCACACATATCTCATAGAACAGTGTATACTATATGATATATTGGTATATTTATCATGTTTAAAAATTTTAGAAAAATTAGTAGTAGAGTGGTGATTACAGACTAATAAGAAAAAAAGTACAAAAAATATGTTCGTCGGACTTAGGAAATAAAAAATACAATTTGACGTACTTTATGTTTTTTAACTATAATTTTCATACAACATAATATTATAATAAAAATATGGTATTGAAGTAATTGTATTATAATTCAAACTATAACCATCCCATGGTTTTCTTTATAAATGTTTTTCTTCTTTCGACGTACGCTTAAAATCAATGTAGTCATCACGCAAAATTTTAACAAAGGTTTAAATTATTAATATCAGCTCGCCGAATTACAAACAATATTAATTTATTAATCATATTTATCGTAGTCGATATTTCATCACTCTGCTGTTTTTTCAACATCATTCGTCTGTCATATTTTCTTGAACACATTCTGTAGAACTTTAGACAAGACGTTTATTTAATTTTGTATTCTTCAAGACATTTGATGTAATCAAAATTATGCCAATAAAACAATTGGATAGGTAGTCAGCGAAATATTATAATTTACCATCAATCAATAGATATTAAATACTACAGGTTTATTATAAATTTTAATTTTACAATAAAATACGATATAGGTAATTTATAGTTTTTTTTTTTTTTGATTAAAACAATGTTAAACATATTATTATTATCTGGAGAATTTAATTCAAGCACAATTAATTATTTTTTAGAAATATATACGTGGTTATCGTGAAACAATACTGCAAGTCTACAACTGCTGTTATCTTTGTACTATACTGTATGCAAATCGAACAAAATATAGTGATTACTGATATGCGTAATTATCATTTATATTATTTATGGTAGGTGTACGTTTTTTCGATATTGTAGTTTTGGAAAATTTGAGATATGTACATAGCAAACAATTTTAACATTTTATACTGCCCTTTTTCACCCTTGTGAGTGATTGGTAAAATTACTTCAAACTTTTAATTTTAAAACAACAAGCTATTTTTAGTTGTATTATCTAAAACAGAAGTTTTATCTCAATATTTGTATGTTTTGTGTATAGATACCAAATATTGGAGTAATAATTTCGTAATATTTTATTGTTGAGTTAATTAGTTGAGTTTATACTATTAATACACATTTTGCCGAGTAAGTTACTACCACCCACATTGCCACTTCAAACATAGGGTCTAGTCAAAAAAATCAAAACAAGTTGATATTGGTTTCGCTCACAAAATATTATATATAAGTGTGCAAACAATAAAAATATAGTTACATTTATGTAATGACATAATTTATTTTAGAACTAGGTCGTGTATCTACCTATCTTTAATTTTCCGAAAAGGAAATCATAAAAAAAGCAAGCCCACAATTGTTGATAACGAGTGTTCACTGTTAAAACTTTAAATGAATTACCAATCATCGTATATGCATAATATACGATCCATTGTGTAATTTTTTAGGCGTTTATTGTGTATAAAAATATTTATTATAAAATAATATAATGCATAATACAATATATTGCGTGTGTGAAGTATAATGTATAATATTTCCTGTCGAACTGTCATTATCAAACATTAATTTAACGTAAAGATTGAAATCTCATTCCTTTCCTCTTTTTTTTTTTACATTGTAATATTACAATCACTGATACGCAATGACACACACACACACACACACTCGTGCGGCCATACCCAAGCAAACGCATGTATAATATTATATATGTTTTCCCGCATGAAATGACCTAGACATTGTTCCCCACCAAAAACGTAATCATGTCGTGGTTATTTAATTTTAATAAAGATAATAAACCTAATAAAACAATTATCACAATAATTTATTGTTGTCAATGCATAGGTAAAGAAAATTGTATTGGTATTTTGTTGTATAAACATATTAAGCTCGGTCTATTACAACGTGGATGTTAAAATATCCAAAAGTCAAAAATTTGCATTCATACGATAGATTTACAATTTTAGTACATCCGGGTAAGCGTGCCCTATTCACGCTAATGTTTTTCTTGTCGTGTTGCGATATTGTATGGTAATAAACTTAATTGCCTGCCTATTACACGCCGTAATGATGTTTTGTATAGATTGTAAGTAGGTACATTTTTAAACAAAAAAAAAATCCTTAAATATAATTGAGTTTCAATTTGGTACATCAAATATGAGATGAAAAAAACCAGAAAACCGCACAACAAACCTAACCTTTACGTCTTATAAAAGTACCGAGGAGTACTCGAGTAGAAATTTCGGACAGACCTGAGAGGTAATGAATGAACCCTGAAAAAATGTAGGACATTCATATTGTGCAGTATTTTTTATGCCAACCATTTTGTGTTTATTACTTTTATCTTCAACTCAAACCTTGTGTAGTCTCATAAACATTTAACATATTAATAATAACATAACGAATTGAGTCGTTGTAATAGTATATAATATTTTACGAGTCAAATATGTATTGTTTATACCAACTGAAAAAAAGAATAATAATAAGAACCAACAGCTATCTAAGTGCAAAGCAATTTGAATATCAAACCCGAATACCTAAACTATATTAGTTTTTTTTTAATATTTATGAAATTAAAGTCTTAAAAGTTGTAATTATTTATAATATTCTATAATGAATATCTACGAATATCTCATATCTTTAGATTTCATTTGTTTCAGAACTTAGGTTTATATTCGTGCTGTCGTTATGGATAACTGTAGCCAGTTCAATGTACAAAATCGGTATTGGAATCGCCGATGTAACTGGGCCTGCGGCAGGTGTTACCTTTGTGAGTATTATTTTGATTTTTTTAGAGGCATTTTATTATACAGTCACTTATTTTAACTTTTAAGACAATACATTGATGAAATAAAAAATTGCATTTTCCCTATTGTAATCCTTGCACCGACAATAAAAGCAATACCTACTCAGGCTGACCCTTCTCACCCGGAAAGCAGTAATTGTCATGAATCATTTTAAAAACAAATTGACAATAATTGAAATTATTTTAGCAGTCAGAAAAAAAACCTAGACGATGATTCCTTAAAATAATAACGGTTGTATAATATTATTTTAATCTTCAAAAATCAAATCGATCACATGTAATTATATTATAAGTGCCCATTATATTTCATATTAAGTCAATTAAACGAATAGGTAATTTCTTTATTTAAAACGTTTTTCTGTTATACTTAATCATTGGTACATTATAATTTTGAATACAATTTGGTATATTGGTATAATAATATTTATGATAAATTATATTTTGATAACCCACTAATACATCTTTCAAATTTATTTTTATTTATTACTTTATGAGTTATAAATTTGTAACCAAGAATTATGGCCAAGGTCCATACAAGTTATAAATATGTATTGATTCAATCAAATCAACTAAAATCAGTTAACTAATAATTGCATGTCGCTAGGAAACTAAACGTAACGTAGTAATATTAGCATATAATATTGTCAATTGCACAGTTAAACATATCATTCTATATCCCTGAAGAATGTCCAAAATGTGAATCGAAAAACTATTATAATCTCCTACTCAATGTTAAAGAAGCCCTCTACAAAGACGAAGCTACACGAATTTTCACTTTTATTTCTCGTTATAATTACTAACTTAACAAATTGTAACATTACAAACACTAGCAATTCAAACATTGTATACACTATCACCATTCTGTTATCATAAAATACCTGTAGAATAATGTTGGCTAATAACCTAAACTGACGAAGCGGAAAATCCATAATACAAACAAATAAATAAATTGGCATTTGTTCGAAAATTATCAAAAACGTAGTAAATGCATTTAGAATTTTATAATAATATCTTATCAGAGTTAATACTGATCAGGTAGACTGCAGTACCTAATACAACTCACAAACTGTGTATTTTATAAACAAAGTGAAATAATAAACAATTAAGTATACCCCATTTTTCGTCTAAAAAGTAAACAGCCGATTCGAGTGAATTATTTAGTGGGGGCAGGGACATGAAGAAAAACACTAAGACAATTAAAATCGTTTTAGAGGTGGCAAGGGAATAAAAATAAATATTGTATTTACTAATAGTAAACGTAAGCATGTAAAAACATAGATAGAGTTGACTAGTAGGGGTGTATTTTGTGCATGGAATCAAACATTAAATCAATGGAAAATAGTTATATTATTAATTTAAAATTATAATTTATTGAATAAAATGTTGAAAACTCATAATTTATTGATTTGTTTATAATGTTTGGTTTTTTATTTACGGTATAGTAAATACTACACTACAGACCGTTTTCAATAATTTCTCTCCAACCATTTCGACGTTTTAAAAAATATTTATGCATGTGTGTGTGTGTGTGTGTGTGTGTGTGTGTGTGTGTGTGTGTGTGTGGGTGTGTGTGTGTGTGTGTGTGTGTGTGTGTGTGTGTGCACATTGTATAGTACAGTTTGCTTGGGTACTTAATTATAGCGCCCAAACACTAAAAAGTCGTGAGTAATTATATTTGATTTTTGCAATAAATCGTTAAAAATATATCGTTAGAATGAATTATTATTTCATGTATGAATTGACTGATTGGATTAGTAACCTAACCTAACCTTTCGTACTTTGTAGGCCACGTGATTTTCAAAATTGCAATTTCCCTGTGGTTCCCTGTTGGCCACAGTTATAATTATTTAAATTTAATATGCTTATCATTACTCGTCTTAACGAAAACCATTCTTATATCTATGCAAATATATAGGTAATTTATTGGTAGATATAAAATAGATTTGTATGACAGAGTAAAATAAACCAATTATTTACAATTTATCAATTATTATTAAAGTGGAAAAATTATACAAAATTCACTTGATTCATTATTAAATCTACTTGGCTAAGAACAAAGCAAATTTCATTCGCGTATTTTTGACGGTAAAGTGGCTTTTTTCGTATAACAAAATAATATTTTTATGACAATTGGGCTGTATGGCTCAAGCTCAACGGCGATTTGTTGGTCTTCGGATCCCTCAAAATCATAATAGCTTAATTATTCATGATCGGCGCAGATTTAATATTAATACAACCTTTATAAAATTATTAATATCTTGCATGTTATGTACCATATGCTTATTGCTTATGATATATTTTTGTTTTTTTCCTATTTTATTAAAACCGTCGATTGTGTAATATTATTTAGAAATTGTTTGCTTTTGATCTCGGGTTATATATAATGTTATATCAAACAGGTTTTATGAAATTTCTGATGGCACACTGCATAATACACGTTAACACGTTGTCTATACGCTAATCCCAACACTTAGATATATAATAATAAATGTATTATTTAATATTACGATGTCTACGTTGTGCAGCTGGGATACGGAAAAATGGAACAAAGCGGAGAGGGAATCCATTTGCGACAGTTCTCTAGGGCATTTGTAATTGAAGATTCAACATCTAGGATAGCATTCGTCAGCATCGATTCTGCGATGATGGGTGACCAAATAAAGAAAGATGTGAGTCGAAAATTGAAAATTGAATATTAGTCATTGTTTTATTATACTATAAATTATAATAATTAATACAGTAGATTCTCAATTTGTGAGTTTTGTAAATTCGGAAAAAATAACTTGAAATGTCCTTGTTATCCCGTTTAATTCCATTATAATGAAATCCACATAAGTTTGTACCAGACGAGTTGCATATTATTGTTCGTATCTGTAGAAATTTCACAGTTCATATTTTAGAATACGGCTTTCAGAAATGATTAAAATATATTCAAATTTTGTTAATATCAAGCAGTGAACAAATGACGTTTAAATTCATTCTACAGCATTCGTTGTCAGATAATAAATCAATAATAAATAATAATAATAATATAATGCAACCTAATCCTCCACTTTTCAGGTATCATAACAAATTTATGATATCAATTTTCAACGCACTTTCATAGTCTTATATAATCATGTTACTTCTGAATGACATTCATTATTTAGATTTCGAATTAAAAATCCTGTTTTTCCAGATTATTTTTTTTTTTAACAACTGGTAGTTTATACTTTTGATCCCCTTGCACAGAAAAAGTACCAACTAGATTAAATTTTCAACCAAAAATCAAGCCCAAAGTAAAAACTGAATCATTTTTACGGTTTCCAAAAAAGAATATAAAAAAAAAAAAAAACCAAAATTAAAACGCATACCCACTGTGAAGCCAATACACTCGTACGTGTTCGCTTCGCTTAGCGTTTGAAAGTGATTAAAATTAAAATAGCATTCAATATTTGGATTGAGTCTTATTTTTTCTATTTGCGACAACTGCATCATTCTCTTCATATTGTTAATGAAAACTGATGAAAAATTGCACGACGAACAATGCTGTTTGTCCACCGATCCGTTAAAACTCGATAGCTGGAAATTATAAACTGTATAGGCGACATTATTAATATTTGAACCGCTTGTTTTTTTTTTCTTTTCGCACTCGAGAATCTACTAAATAATATTATGATATTGTCGCAATAGTTTGATTGACGATGAAATAAATTGCAATGTAATCAAACGACGAATACGATTTGAAGGTATTGAAAAAATTGAAGGAGAAGCTACCGGGCTTGTACGACACGAATAACCTTATGCTTTCGTCGACGCACACTCACTCGACGCCCGGAGGTTACATGTTACATATGCTGTTTGACTTGAGCACATTGGGTTATGTTCAACAAACCTTAAACTGTTTAGTAAAAGGTATTACACTGGTGAGTTTGATATAAAAACGAGTACTATATGATATTTGGATTCCGGTATAATATACGCGTATTTGTAGGACACCCATCAAATAATATTTGTCTTGCAAGTATCTTACGTTTCAAGGAAAATAAAAATATGTACTTCGCTCGACTTTTTTTCTTTTATTCGTTTCTATTGACAATATTATCTACTCCTTGAATAAAAAAAAATTATTTGACTTTTTCCGACGTGTTTAAATTCGATTTTGCGCGTGCCAGAAATTAAAGATTTTTGTCACGATTTCGGCTTTCACATAATATCATTATATTGTCACTGGTAAATTTAAAATATCATTGTAAAATTAATGGAAACTCTACGCGCGTGGCACCTGTAGATTATACATTCATTTAAATATTAATAAAATAACAGTATGACAATAATATGATGTGCTATGATATTATTATTATTATTATGGTATTTTTTTTTTTTTTTTTGGGATGAAACGGTCTTTTTATAAGACTTAAACTTTTTGTATACTTACACTGATATGATTTTTATAAATAGAGTATTCTGCGGGCACACGACAGATTAGATTATGGACGTATATTTGTTAATAAAGGTGAACTAATGGGAATATCGATGAGTAGAAGTCCTCAGTCATATTTATTAAATCCGGAAGTCGAACGCGCTCAGTAAGTAGTATATTTTATTTCATACCATACGCCATGAATTTATAGTCAACTGTAGGCGCCAATATTATGCTCAGATAGCAAAATATTATCGTTTGATGCGGTTGTCAAATACATTATTAATATTTTTTTTTTATTTGCATGCAGTAAATAGTAATAATAATAATGACTCAATGAGCGTTTTAATATAAAACAAATACTCGAAGGTTATCGATGTTTGCGGACGGCAAACACACGAGGGCTCAACACACTGGTGCCCCGAGAGGAGTGACAGGGCATTTCACCCCCCCCCTTTGCTCTTTAAAATCAGACACGAGATATACAGCAATATGTTCCATATTCTGTTTAATATTATTTCTATATTAGGTATAGGTATTGAAAGGCGCCTATGGTTTAACATGACATTATATTGTACCCTTATAAACCACCTGTACGTATTCAGTGATGGGTCTACGGTGGAGGGGGGAAAGGGAAGATTGGCCCCTCCCCACTCCATGAATACTGTAGTTTTGTATGATGTTTTAGCCCTTGTTTTCCCCTGTAATGTCGTAGTGCATGATGTAGACTGTTGTCGCAGATTTTAGTATTTCCATATTATAGAGTTGCAGAATTCAGTATCTACATAAGCGCGAGCTTATTGTAAACATTGTTAAATAACAATGTTCAGAATAAAGTTCACCAGTCTAATTTATTTAGCGAACATCAGTTGTAATTAAGTTTCTTTATCAAAGTTCTAGTGACCGGACTGACATGGTGACGAAATCCGGCTTACAGGTCTCTGTTCATTACAATATTATGTATGCGCATGGAATTTAATTTAAATAATTTAACACGGTTACTAGTCGTGATAGAACACTTGCCCATATAAGCATAAGCGTCGTTTAGAATATCAGTTAAATTAAATTAAAAATATATTCGTTTATGCTAAATGGCGACGTCGATTTAAAAATATTTACCGGGTTTCATATGCTAGCATGGTCCATGAATTGACTGTAAATAATCATAGGACAGAAGTAATTTTGCAATACTTAAATGTAATAAATGTAATGAAGTTTATATTAAGCTCTAATATAATACCATTATTAATTATCGATAGGATATATATATAATAACTAATAACATATAATGTCAAATTTTTTTATTTTAAGTTATACACCCCAAAGCGGTAAAGTGTGTGGTTGCTTTACTTGTGCACTGACGCTGTAAACTAATTTAAACTTTTGCCCCCCCCACCCCATCCCCGAAAAAATTGAGCTGTGGATCCGTCACTGAATGTATTATTAGTTCACTATAATAATATTGACCATATGGTACTTGCGCCTCCTTTCGTTTTTTAATCGGATCGCTCGCTGTTCACGATACACAGATACGAACACGACGTCGACAAGACCATGGTACAGTTGAAGTTTGAGAGCGAGTACGGTGTACCACTGGGCGTGATCAACTGGTACGCGGTACACGCGACCAGCATGAACAACACCAACAGGCTCATTTCGTCGGACAACGTCGGATACGCGTCCGTGCTGTTCGAGCAAAAGATGAACCCCGACAGTTTCATAGGCAAAGTGAGTGAGGCATAAATACACGTCTTGCGGGCATAGGTTGGGACCAAGTCCCCCTCTAACCGCGGTTGCCCCTGCGACCAAAAAAGAAAAAAATAATTCCGACACTATTCGCGCCGCAATGACTGGAGGTTCTGGTGGACGTTATTTGGATTTTTTCGGAATGACTGACGGACAAGTGTCGTTTTGTTTTCGAACAGGGTCCGTTCGTCGCGGCGTTCGCTTCTTCCAACCTGGGAGACGTGACTCCCAACGTCAAAGGTCCTCGGTGCCAGAAATCGGGGAAACCCTGCGACATTCCCGGACCTTCGTGTGACGTCAACGAACTGTGCGTCGCTTCTGGACCGGGCGAAGACATGAAAGAGAGCACCAGAATAATCGCGCAACGACTGTTCGACAAAGCGTATGTGAGTTTATCGAATTTTCTTTTATATGTACCACGATTGTATAGGACGATGGGATTTGATAGGACGTGCTGATATTGTCTGTTCGAATATCTAATGAATATTTTAATAGACCCCCCGAAATCGAAACTTAATTCGAAATTATTTTATTATTGATATTATTTGTTTCAATAATTATTATCTGTTAATTTTTTTTCGAAAATTAGCTCTAAAACCAAACAGCATTCCCTAATTTGCAAAAACCATTTACCATAGCATTAACGATACCTATCAGTTCAGCAAATTTCGAAAGAAGTTTCAGTGCAATGAAAAAAATAAAAACTTGGCTAAGGACATCGATGCTTCAAGATAGATTCAGCAATCTTTCTATGCTATATATTGAAAAAGATATGTCCAAAAATATTAATAGCAATGATATTTTAAATATCTTTGCTGATAAAAACAGATATTTATTAATAAAATAAAATTAATTATTAATTATTTTTAAATATATATTATTTTTTTTTTTCTTATAACAAACATTTATATTTGTATTAGTAATATTATATACTTATGTATAGGAAGGGGGTGCGGGGGCGAAGCTCTTGCGAGTCACTTTACATTTGATTGTTAAAGCCCCCCTAAAAATTTATCCAAATGTCCGCCTGTGGTTGACACCCTCATTTATCAAAAGTGCCTACACGTGTCGCGTTATAAAATTTATTTATTTATTTATTTATTTTTTAATTGATCCTGAGCCCGGCAACTGTGGCCATTAGCTATAAAATTTATTATACAGCTTTTGCTGTACAAAATTGACACGCAGAATAGTTCTCTACTCTAGCCGTGAAGATAATATTTTATGTCGTGTCGTTTTCAGGAACTGATGGCTGAAAAACCAATCGTCGAGATTAAAGGACCGATGAAGTCCATACACCAGTTCATGGACATTACCGCGGAGGAAGTAGACTACGAGATGCCCGGGGGAGAGGTGGTCAAGGGGAAGGGGTGCAAACCTGCCATGGGTCATACGTTTTCATCTGGCACCATCGACGGGCCGGGCTTGTTCTCGTTCGAAGCCGGCTCCAAATCCTCGAACAATCCTCTCTGGGATCTGGTGACGAACTTCGTGCCCAAGCCCAGTCCGGAACAAGTGGAATGCCACGCGGAGAAATCTATTTTGATATCGACCGGAGAAGTTAGTAAAACCAACGAAAAAACCGATATTTTTTGCAACCAATATTATATACCATGTCGCTGGACCGCAGTCGTGGTAATACTAGTTTTTCGGACGTATTTTTGTTTTTAGTTTAATTATCCGTTGGCTTGGTCACCGAAAATAGTTTCCACTCAGTTGGCCGTCATCGGGCCGTTGATCATAGCATGTGTCCCGGGCGAGTTCACGACCATGTCGGGGAGACGTGTGAGAAAAGCTGTCAGCGACGTCCTTTGCGACGGCTCGTGGTGTACAGTAGTGATCGCTGGGCTTTGCAATTCATATACCGATTACATAACCACACCCGAAGAATACAAGGTGCGAACCATAGATGTTGGCATGTTTTTTTTTTATAGTTTTCTGTGTACTCGTGACACAACAGTTGGAAATTAACAATTAAACCAACAATATTTATGAATTTTAACTCTAAAACTTTTACGTTTAAGGAGAAAAGGTATGGTTCGCGTGCACTATTTTATCATATAAATCTCGCTATGCCTAATGAAAAATAGTAAAAAGTTTGATTGATGTCTTGCGTATACATAGTAAACCAGTAGGTGCCAACTTTAAAATTACTTTGTACGTGCTGATTCCATTAATAATCCCCGTTGTCCTGTATTCAATTATAATCAAGGCGATTTAAATTTAGAAAAGATTATTTTATGTGTACTAATTAGCTTAGAATATCCTCCAAACTATGTTCAATATTGTTGGGTATGTGTCTATGTATAAATCATATTTCTTCAAAATACATGTTTGGTTACTGAAATAACGTGAACTTAATATGATATGAAACATGACCGTTGAATCTTGAAATAGAATTGACTAAAAATTAAAAAAATACGTTGATATTAAAAATGATCTTTTTTTAATTCACAAAACTATGCGAGTTATTCTGTGTTTACACAGCATATAACTTGTTATGGGCTGCTATTATTGGTAGAGGTAAGGAAATAGTGACGACTTGTCGACGTCAGCGCTCAGAGTGTTAATGTGACCACCTAGAAAAAAAAAAATTTGTACAAATCCGCTGGCTATAAAATATTAATAATTATAATATAACATTATTATTAAACGCATACAGCTACAGCGCTACGAAGGTGCTTCCACGTTGTTCGGGCCGTACACGTTGCCTATTTACCTGAAACAATATTCGAAACTGGCCAAGGCGCTGCTGAGCGATGACGTCAAACTGGACCCAGGGCCTGAACCGACCGATCTGAGGTCAGAAGTATGGTCGCTACTGCCGTCACCCATGTTCGACACTCCGATGAGGCGTCACAATTTTGGAGACTGCATCGAACAACCCCCGTACTCGGCCACGTGGGGCCAAACGGTTAAAGCGAAATTTGTAAGTAACGCGTTACGATATATAGCCGAGTAGGTACAATTATTCATAGGTGCATCTGTTATAGGCACAATTAGGGGGAGGGAGCAGTATTGCTATTTTATCACAAAAAAAAAAAAAACTAACAAAATCAATATAAATAAAAACAAATAGTACAATTTTGTTCTTAAAAATGTTCTATACTTAACAACACTATATAGGTATAGCCGAATAGTGATTGTTGCAATAAGGAGTCTCATAGACGCAAAACTAAGGGATAAGGACGTTTTGGCATGGCCCTATTGGCGTGGCCACTTTGGCGTAAACAAAATTGGCGTATGACTATTTTGGCATAAAGTTTTGGCTTATGTTTAACAACATAATGTACAACAATATTTAAAATTTTTTAAATAAAATAAATTAAAAAAATTGTAAATCATTTTATTTGAATATGCATGGTGATATAAAATGTTTATAATAAAAAGGAACCTAACTTAGTTAGTTTGATCAAAAACTTTAAATAAATAAAAATAATAATACGCAGACTAATATGCCAGTAGCTGTTTGTGCGAATGTAATAATGTAATAAAGTATAAGTATAATAAATAATAAAGTAGGTCTAGTAAAGGCGTAGTAGGTAAATGTAGTAATTTTATTAATATAAATGAAAAAAATAATAGAATTTCGTAACAATTTATGTTATGAGCTATGCCCCTTAAAAAAACAACATGGTGGGGTTGTTGTAATCCTCTAAAATTTCAAAAATTCTTTTGTCGACATCAATAATTTTTTTTTCTTTTTTGGAGGACCATTTCCATCTTCTAGTTGTCGATAAAATGTATCGCGTCCTGACCGAACCTTCATTAAGTTGGTAATAAATGTCCATATTGTTGGACGTATTGTACACCCATTTGTAGATCTAATCGTCTATTGGCTGCTTCAGGATATACGGTTTTATGGCTTTATGGTTATCTGTCCTGTCTTCCTTGTCTAACACCCGTTCATGAACATTCCGCAATACAGGTGGAAATCTAGCAGATCCGTCGCAGATTTCTTATTGTTTCACACAATATTATATCCATCGTGGGTGTATATTTCTCGACCGCGAATGCTCTTTACTCAGGCCATTGTCGGTCACAACTGATGAGGTGAATGTACCTCGACTTGGAATGCTCTTTATTTGAGCCATTATCGATTGCAACCAATGAGTAAACATTACAACTTTATGACAGTAATATAACTGATTATTATACCCGAACAGCCGACAGCAATACGGGAATATCAGTCTGCTTTTGTAGTCTACAAACGAGCATATTATTCAATTTTGTAATTATTTTTGTAAATAATATGCAATATTGTTAAACATATACGCCAAAGCTTAACGCCAAAATAATCTCATGCCAAAATAACCATACGCCAAAATGGTCGTACCCCAATGTTGTTCACGCCAAAGTGGCCACTCCAATACGGCCACTCCGAGATGGCCACACAAGATGTCCTAGAACTAAGCTTACATTTGTCGGTGTGCTGAAATTTCGATGGTTTAGAGCTGTACAGTAGGTACATATTGTTATGCTGATATACAATACTTGTTGTTGATTTTAAATTAAATTTATATTCACCGATAACGTCAAATAACACTTATGGAGGTAAAACACTTAAATGATACAAGACTTTTGCAAATCGACTTTTGGATAATATTATTTTCCATAATATTGGTGTATACATAATATAATAACTGAAATAAAAAATATATACTAATATCTCATTTACATCAAAAAAGTTCCAATCATGGCTATAACTTCCATAACTACTTTAAGATTTTACAGATGTTGAAGGATTTTTAATCGAACCAAAATAAAAGTATAATCTAACCAAAATTAATTGAAATTTTTATTTAAATTATTAAATAATAATAATATGGTTGACTGCCTTCAATTACTTTACCGTATTCACATCAAAATAAATACACAGTGAGATAATGTGAGAAGAGTTGTTGTACTATTTAATAAATATAACAAGTAATTACGAAAAACGATAACCGTGTAATTTCATGTTAATGACTCAATGTAACGCTAAAAAAACATAATTTTTACAATTTATAGTTTTCACTGCAGTATTTAGTCTTTGTCCAATTGTATTTGTTTCATTATAATATTAATATAACGTAGCATTGTAACTCACTGCAGTTTATGATGAATGAACAAAGTACTTATGTATACAACACTTTATTAAGGTATACTTGAAAGTATGCAATTGTATAGTAATTACTGTCACTGTAAATTGATATTAATTATTCGTGGAATATAAAATATTGTTATTATTATTTATGAATAGATATTATTTTAAGAACTGCATCTTAAATAATCTGTTTGTAATAGGTAGTATTAAATATTCAAAACAAATGAGTTTCAAACTATACTATTATAAAAAAAAAAAAAAATAGCTCGACTATTAATTATTGTGAAGTTACGAAATACAAATTAGTAGAATTAAATGAAAAATTGCACTTGGCAGACATAGCCAAATGCTCTCAACTATCGATGTATCAATGTGAGCATGTGGCAATGTTACTGAATTAAAAGATACAACCACCGAATTACCCACCGAGCTCTGTCTGAAACAACGAAATCAACGAGTAGGATTTAAATATTTAGTGGCGATGGCAGGGGAGGGAAGTGTTTAGGATTATATTAATTTATACTTACCCAAATGATATAAAGCTTTGTGTACATGTTCTTCTCGTCTACAGGTGTCCGGCCATCCCAGGAACAACCCCATGTTGGAGCAGACGTTTTTGACGGTTGAACTGCTCACGGACGATCTAAACTGGAACGTCGTCGCCACCGACGCCAATTGGGAAACCGAGTAAGGACGCAAGCGCGTTTGACGTTTCGCAGTTTTGCACAGACTTCACGAGACGTGTGTCTTATGATTTTCCACAGATTCAAATGGAAATCCGTTTCGTGGCTTTGGGCCAACAGTGTAGCGGAGGTCAAATGGACAATACCCGAAAACACTACACCCGGGCTCTACCGCATTAGGCACTTTGGATATTTCAAAATGTACTTTGGAGGCGGCAGGCTCGGAAAATTCTTTGGCACTTCGGAAACGTTCAAAGTGTCGAAGAATTAGTGCGAAACGTCGGTTTTGTTTTTAACACACAGATACATCATCAATTTTTTTTTTCCATTTTACCTGAGAGTATGTTTGGTATCAGTTCCTGGCTATAAAATTGTTGAAATAAGAAACCCACTTTTCCGCTCCAAAAGTCAATTTTTATTTACACATTGTTTGTCGGTGTCGTCGTGTTACGATTATCGTATACATTATTATTAAATCATAATGTTATACGCGTTTAACACGATATAATTCCAAATCCGCTTATTATAATAATATTGTGATGCCGTCAACACTCATCATATTTATACTGGTAATCCCTAATAACCTATATTATAATAACCATGTCGACGAAACAAAATTTGTGTATTCAAAATACTTATACCTATATTGTTGATTATTTTGTAAATATAGGCAATATAGATCTATGATACGTATACATGTAAATCAACATATTTATCAATATACTGTTCGATAGCGTGAAAATTAAAAAAAAAAAAACAGTTAACAATACTGAATACGCCAATAATTATATAACATAAACACTATACCTACAAGTCATGTGTGAATTGCTTTTTTTACCTTCATTTAAAAATATTGAGATTTAGTGTTTTTTTTTTATCAAAGGTGTAAAAAAAATAAATTTGTAGCAACCTTTAGGGGTTGAACAAATAAGCTATAAGCTCCCTCTCCGAGTCTCAATAAGGACTAAATTGTGTTGAAAACGGTCCAGTAGTTGTTACTTGTTCAGACTACAGAGGACAAACAATGAAACACTTTTGATATAATATATTATAAATAGATGGATAAACCTATTTACGCAGTACAATGATAAAGAAAACATATTCGTCGCGGTATAATGGCCTAGGACTTAACTATAAATAGACATTTGAAATTGTTATTTAAAATATAATATATTTTATTGTGTTCATATAAAATTCAATATTTTTTGAAGGAGAGCGTATTACATAATATATATTTTTTTTTATTAAAGCTATCAATATAAAATCATTAAACACAATATATTATTTAATGCATATGGAGTCTATAGTAATTAATTTCAATATCATATTATACCTAAGCTGTTATATAAGAAGTACAACATTCAACTAAAATACTTTTCGACATTTGTATTGGATATTTGAGAATAGTATTCTTGTGATACGTAAAATTATTTTAGATTGTGAGCAGGGTGATGAATGTATGGATTTAATGATTTAACCATAGACTCCATACTACTAGACAAGAACTGTGTGACAACAGCATTACGAGCTGTCTCGCAACATCTCACAGTGGTGTAGGCTGTTTTTACGATAATATACAATAATATAAATAAATAAATATCTATATAGATATCTTAGACTACTATTCCCCACTACCATGCGTACGAGCAATCGATTATTTAAATATATTGTTTACGGTTTACCTCTATATTGTTACACTTTCCATACACTCATTGATAACCTAGTAGTAGTATGAGACCTATGGATTTAACAGTGTGTGTGTGTGTGTGTGTGTGTATGAAGGTACTTTTCACATAAGAAAAGATGATTCAATTTCTAATATCCAAAAGAATTTCTGATAGAAAAGTGAATCTAGTATTGGTACCCCAAGGTTCCAAAAGCAATACCTAATAACATTCAATAAGATAACAAAAAAAAAATTATGAAAATCGTCATCGGCCGAAGCGTCACCGCAACTGTAGAACCTGCACTCGAGTAAAGTTCTGTAGGTCAATTTCCGTCGCACACGATGTCACGGCGTCTTTTTACGGAGATGGCCGACATTGATCGAGTACAGGTGGTCGTCGTTGTTCGACTACAGGTGGCCGAGATGCACATCCTCTGGTATACGTACCGAATTTCGGAGCCATAACATTATGAGTGAAACAGACTTGGCAGTGGATCGCTTACATACACACTCACAAACATTGCAATTTGTCAATAAATATTTATTGATTTATATTGTACTATTTTTATTCGATTCTGAGCTGAGAGTACTTTTTGATTTTTCTTTATTGGTTAAGCATCAACTATACAGGTTATTAGCTTTACACGTGTTTATTGATTTTACAATGATGTGCGTTTATTATTTTTTTTTCAATGTTTTACTTTTTTTTTATTTGTATCTGTGTACAAAATAAGAAGTCGAAATAATGCCTACGTTTATACGTAAATACGTAAATATGTATTTACACTAGCTTTAAAATCAGCTGGTGAATAATAAAATATTGAATAATATAATATAATATGTACATTGTACAGTGATTTTTGTATTTAAAAATATCTTGTTATTATAATATTACGAATTCACGACTGTACAGGCTTCTTGTCGCGGAATTTCAGTGGCAGAGGCACAACAACAGTGAGATCAGATTGATTTTATTTTAAAATATTATTCATGGATGCTTGAAACTTTTATTATTTTTATTAAAGTATATTATTAAAATATTTTATACACACAAAGACTTTTCGAATGTAATTTTTTGGCAACATTAATTTAACCAAAGTGGTACTAACGATTGATAGTAAAATTAATTACTTAAATCTCAATGATATCATCAAATATACTAAACTACCAAGTAATATTATGGACTGACAGACGGTCTTCGCTTAGAATCGTTTTTCGTATACAATGATTTTATATCATTGAATTCAAATTTAACACCACCCATTGCAGTGACCCACTCATAAGTCATAACCTCATAACCTACTGCACAGCAGAGCGCTGGATCAGTGGTTTTTAGTATAGTAATTTATTTCACTGCACTAGTAACACAGTAAATAGGTTAAATTAATTATTGCCAAAAATATTGCATTTAATGTCATATCATTAATATTTGACTATGATAATAGTATTTTTTTTTTTTTATTAAACAAAAAAACCCTCGGCAGCAAGGCCATTGGGATATATAATATATTGATAATAGTATTATAGGTACCTATATATTGTTATTGACCTTTGAGTCAATACTTACTTAGAACTGTGTTAGTTTATAAATAGCGAATATCATACAATTGTTCCTTAAAAGTTTTGAAAATATCACTTTATATGAACAGTAAGATAAACTAATAGTTTTGAATCAGCAACAAAAATGTTTTTGAATTAAGTACAACAAAATCATCAAAACCATTATTTTTCTTGTATTAAATATCGAAGTTTCATCCAAATTTTAATTTCAAATAATTACAAAGAAAAAATCATGCCTATGAGCCTCAAATATTTTTAAACAGCTATACTTAAAACTTACTAGAGCATCATGTATTAACTTCCCGAGCTTCTTGATCCAGTGAAAATGTTTTTATCGGCAGTGACAGAAGAAAAACTAAGGAAAAAATCGAAAGTATCAAAGGTTTACAAATAGTTTAAAAAGATTATAAATATTTTAAAAATTGTTCCGTGTATAAAAAATTGGCTTACATATATTATAATGTTTCATATAATCTTTATTAGTTTATTACGGTGATATGCTAATTGTATAATATGTATAATAAGTATTTTTGATAAGACGATGAATTCAATAAATTATGTGCTCTATAAAATGTTTGAGTAAAACATTAATTTTATATTGATCTCAATATTCAGCAGTTTAGCACCTTATTATAATATCTTATGTGAATCTCAAATTGGTAATTAAATTTTATTAAATCTTTTAAAATTGTAAACAATTCCCATCAAACGCATTTTGAAAACAATTTAAACTGTTTAATCGACTTCTTCGACGTTTGGTCCTTTTGCACCAGCTTGGTGTAGTTTGGTCATGATCGGTGAACACTCTTTCTGCAGGTCTTTCAATTTATCTTCAAACTCGTCTTTATCAGCTAATGTGTTTGTCTCCAACCACGTGATCACCGCTTTACAGCTACAACATCAGACACAATAGCATTCGATTACAGTGAATTTTTTTTACAAAATCATATAATACTGGTCGAGTGGATTTCTCACCTTTCTAATATCGCTTTCTTGTCCGTCTCTGGAAGTTTCGAGCCAGCTTCTTCAATCGCTTGTTTGACACTAAACGCGTAGCTCTCCAATTGGTTCCTGGCGGTAACGCGCTCCTTTTGTTTTTCGTCCTCTTGTCTATACATCTCCGCTTCCTTCAACATTTTGTCAATATCTTCTTTGGACAATCGACCTTTGTCGTTCTTTATGGTAATCCTTTCGGACTTGCCCGTGCTGATTTCCTTGGCGGACACATTGAGAATACCGTTGGCGTCCAAGTCGAACGTGACTTCGATTTTTGGGACACCACGTGGTGCGGGAGGGATTCCCGTCAAATTAAATGTACCCAACAGATTGTTGTCCTTGGTCATTGCTCGTTCACCTTCGAACACCTAGAACAACAGTTAAACTCGGCTCGATCAAAAAAAAAAATCACAACGACAACTAGATCCTAGGTAGAAAGTGAATGTCATATTATAAATGCGCACCGTGATCGTGACAGCCGCCTGGTTGTCGGAGTACGTGGTAAATGTTTGTTGTTGTTTACACGGTATGCGAGAATTGCGTTCCACAAGTTTGGTCATTACGCCACCTGCTGTCTCGATGCCGAGCGACAGGGGAGTGACATCAACCAAAAGTACGTCTTGGATGGCCGAACTGGTATCGCCGCTGAGAATGGCAGCCTGGACGGCAGCTCCGTACGCCACGGCCTCGTCAGGATTGATGGACAGGTTTAGCGATTTGCCGCAAAAGAAATCCTGCGACAGAACGACTCGTGTATCAACATATTATGAATAGATTGAAATACAGAATATTCGGAGTATTAGATCCTGATTTTATTCGGGTAATCGCATTTAATTAACCAGTAACGATAGGAGCGGGCGTCACCGTTTTCCGCCAAAATGACCCTCGCCCGTTATCACCGTGGCCGTTTTCCGCCAAAGTTTGTATTCCGATTTCCACCAAAAAAAATTTATAAATTATTTATGAACCTCTGAACTGAAACCATCAAATAGTAATGATCACGATGTACGCGCATCACCTTGTATCACACACGCGCCTCACCTCAGTTTATTGATCATAAACTTTTATCTATATCTTATCTTACTATTACTATTCCCCTATTTATAGTTGTACCCACTACCCAGTGTGTTTCCTAACGCATACGCTATTATAATTGTACTTAAAAACAGTATAAATATTAATTGTTATAATTATAAACATCACTAGTTTGTCTTCCAAATAATACATTGTTATAAAAATTAAAATGATATAAAATATATAATAATATCACGTACCTACATCGTAATCATCACTATTTGATGGTTTTAGTCCAGGGGTTCTCAAAAATAATTTATACATTTTTTTTGGCGGAAAACGGCCATGGTGATAACGAGCGAGGGTCATTTTGGCGGAAAACGGAAACCCCCATAGGAACAGTACGACGAAACAACGAAATCAAAAATCGTGAATAAGCAACTACCTGTCACGGGTACGTATCTAGCTAAAGTTTATGTATAACGGCGAATTCAATATTTTCGTGGATATAAATATTTAAAAAAAAATGTTTTATCCTCAAAACAACTTATTTATATGCATAAATGTATAATCAGGTTATCAGTAACCAAAGTTGAATTTGGTTATCGTCATTATAGCAGTGTACTATATAATACTGTGTGAAATTTGATAATATGAATGGTTACTTATTTTTATTTATAAGAAATATTCCATCTTTTGATGATCACTAAAGACTAATAATTGTTTTTAAATATTATGAATTTCAATACATTTAGATTACACCTACTAGCTACCCGTGTCATATTATATACCTATACTATTTTTCACATAGGTACAAATCGCTTTTATTCACTTAATTTATTATAATAATTTAATTTCACTATATTTTACCCACGCCGTACCTGGACGGTTGTTAAAAAAAAAAAAATCCAAACAATAAAAAAAAATCACCTGTAACATTTTCTGTATCTTTGGTATTCTGGTCGAACCCCCGACGAGCACTACGTCGTGTATGCTGCTCTTGTCCATTTTCGCGTCGGCCAGTGCTTTTTCCACGGGCGAAAGTGTAGACCGGAACAGGTCCATGCACATTTCTTCGAACCGGGCCCTGGTGATTTTCGAGTAAAAATCGACCCCGTCGTGCAGGGCGTCGATCTCGAGGGACGCTTCGGTGCTCGACGACAGCGTCCGTTTGGCCCTCTCGCAGGCCGTCCGCAGTCGTCGCAGGGCCCTAGTGTTTCCGCTGATGTCCTTCTTGCACTTCCTCTTGAACTCCTCGACGAAATGCGTCACCAACCTGTTGTCGAAGTCTTCTCCGCCCAAGTGCGTGTCGCCGGCCGTCGACTTCACTTCGAACAACGAACCCTCGTCGATGGCCAGGATCGACACGTCGAACGTGCCGCCGCCCAGGTCGAATATCAGCACGTTCTTCTCGCCCTTCAGGTTCTTGTCGAGACCGTAAGCCAGAGCTGCGGCCGTGGGTTCGTTGATTATCCGCAGCACGTTGAGTCCGGCGATGGCTCCAGCGTCTTTGGTGGCTTGTCTTTGGGAATCGTTGAAGTACGCCGGTACAGTGACCACGGCGTCGGTGACCTGTATACGGTAATCAGTCCGATAGTACGGTCATTAGTCGTTATTCTACAACTGATTAGGTATTCTACATCATTCAACAGATGTCAGATGTCTGGTTACAGGGTGATGGGTGTTATGGGGGGACATAAATCACCTCAATGACCAAAATTAAAAAATAAATACATACATCATACATTATGTATTTGGTAAAATTCTAATGTTTATTTTTCCCACAGCTTATCTCTATTATCACCGAGGATGTTTTCAGGACTTTTTTTTAATATCCACCACTTTGATGTTAATGAATTATATTATATTCGTCTGTATTGTTTCTGTGGAATTATAGATGCATAATATATGTGCATTTAATTTATTTAATAATATGTAGGATATATATATTCTAAACACAAATCATTTTTTTATATAATATTAGACTTGTAGTTTGACATGAAATTTTGTTCTGTGGTCACGTACATACTATATCACATGCTATAAGACAAAAATAATTATTTATTTTTAATTTTTTCAATGTTTTTGTAAAATGTTTTATGGAAAAAACCTAAATCTTTTTTTCAGATAAAAATAAATCAACCTTGAATACATCAAATCAATCAAACAAAACCTAAAATATACAAGTGAATAATAAGAGGAAACTTCACAGACCTATGAAATATTATTATTACCAAACAATTTTAAAAACACACTTTACCTTTCCGCCAAGGTAGACTTCGGCGATTTCTTTCATTTTCGTTAGCACCATCGAACTAACTTCTTCAGGGGCGAATATTTTCCTCTCGCCTTTATACTCGACGGCTATTTTGGGCAAGCCACCCTCATTAACCACTTCAAACGACCAGTGTTTCATGTCCGCTTGTATTTTTGGATCGTCGAATTTACGACCTACTAAACGTTTGGCATCGAAAACCGTATTCCGCGGATTCATGGCCACCTAAAATAATAAAAAAAAGTCATAATTGATAAAATATTAAAATGTTAAATAACACGAACAGGTATTGGCGAATGGTATAGCTTGCGGTAGTAGCTATAAGATATAGCGCCTTTTCAACGAGAACGAGTATCATTAACCGTTATTTTTTTTGTTTATTTTTCCAGAACAAAACATATTTTATGTTTTTACAACACAATCCTCTAAATACGTGTATTTAATATACACACCTATGTTATGATCTTCGATTTATTAATTTTATACTGATATGCCATACAATTACGATAACGATTATACTCAACGATTATTATCAAACACTCATTGTCTTTATACAGTTATCAATTTTTATTGTACAGTTGTATTTGAATTCACGTAGTATGGCGTATGTTGTGTAATAGAAAATATAAACGTACATGTTTATTTCGTAATTATTACTTCCTTAATATTTTATAGTATTATCGGGAATATATAGGCAACTTTCCATTTAGAAAATATATGTAAGAAAAATAGATCTTGCAGCAGTATTCTCGTTTGGATTATGATATGATTGTAATAAGACACACAATGAGTTGATATTTTTATCGTGCCCTACACAATTCTATATAGAAATTTCAGTACCAGATTTTTGAATTTTAGTTCCATCTACTTCTACGTACTGTATGACCGCCATATTATAACGGTGATATCAGTGTTGTACAAAGGTTAAATAATTTTTTTTTCGATTAATAATTATGGAGGGAAATATTATTGGACCGTGCGCAGTGAGATTTGGATATGGATGAATCATCGTCGTCTGAGCGCCCGCCTCCATCTATGGGCACACCGCACACACACACACACACACACATAAACACACTATAATAATAATATGTCTCACACTTCTTGCGACACGCAAACGACGTGCCTACAATAATATCGTGTGTGCGTTCGTGTTCCTCAAACACCCGATTTGGTAATTGAATGGTCGTAAACAGGCCTAAACGGGTAAGGTCATAATATCTACGAGAATCCCGTTCTATAGTGGTTATGATTTTGTGAATAACATCGTATTATATTATTTTTATTATTTATGATGGTCAGTCTAAAAATACGTTACACGCATCGCGCGACTCTAGAAATAACACTTTCCAGATAAAATCAAACTGGGAGCACATAGTGCACATGTGTCATCGGGATATTTTTGTGTCTGCCCAGTGGTGTAATGTCGTTGTGGGTGAGAATAATTAGATGCGTGGGCTTGCGTTCGCGTTCGCGTTCGCCAAATTCGATGACGTTTGTACCAACGGTTATGCGCGAACATACGTATCGAATGCGTGTAAAACAATTTTTAGTACATACAATGTTGTATTATAATTATTATTATTATAACTTAGAAATTGAGACCACCGGAGAAATTCTAAACGAGAATGAAGTATCTACACGGAATGTATTCTCAAAAATGGTTAAGTCTTATTCTTGATTGTGGTACCGACGTTTTAGAAATATATCTACTTACCACAAAATCAGCAGACATATACCACGTTAGTGTTGTTGAAAAGAAAAATGATGTACCTACAATTTAAAAAACGCATTAAACCAATTTGTCATTGCATGTAGGTACTATTATTTTTTCGGTTCGATGACTTATACGTAAAAACACTTTATACTACGTGTAGATCACTCAAAAATGTTCCATAATCATCTTATTTGCAGGTGAAAAGCCTGGAATGTGCCAAACTTGCCTAGAACCCCTTACAGTCAAGTGTCTCTTTGTCTACTGCACAAATCATTATATGAAAACTAGGAAAAACCTATAGAAATGTCCGACAACCCTCTCCGAAGCTCTTAGCACAATCAAAGACAACCCCAACAAAACCATCGCATTTCTGAAACTTACTGATGCGTACAACTGAATCTTAGATAACTATTGTATTTATTTCGTTGTAAGCTATATAATAACCTAGTAGTCGATGCTGTACCAGGAATACAAAAAAAGTCCACGACAGTTGCAGGTGACATGATGAAACAAATAGACTATAGGCAATACAGTCTAATTTCTAATAATGAAAATAATTTGATTTCAGTATCAATTTAAGTCAATTTATTAACCGTAAATTTTGATTTTCGATTAAATTTACAGTAAGTAATTCATTCGTTACAATAGTCAACAATATCATAGCATACGTTATATATGTACTATACGTAAATTAAGTCATTACTTAAGTTATTCGTTTTAATTGCACAGCGCGAGTAGTGTTTAAAATTATTTTTTATTTATTAGAAACATTTTTAACATTACAGTTTTGAATACGTACCCACTAAAGTACTCACTAAAAAACCTAACTGCACCTCGAAATTAGTTGTTTTGAGTTTAATAGATGAATAAGAATAATATAATGATAGTTGCTGCAAGCGCTTCGAAAAATGTCTGTAAACGTCGGTTATACTATTTAAATATAATATAATATTATTAGTCATAACTGCTTGTAATGATTAATTCATTGTTGTCACCTACAGTCGTATTGAAATCATTGTTTGAACGTCGCAATGCGTTTGATTGTTGTAAAACAAATATTATGTTGATATTGTTTCGATCTTTAATGAAAATTATGACTTCGACTACGATCTATTTATCAAACTTTATTGATTCAGATTTCGGACACGTATGTATACCATATTATAAAACGCAACACGATATAATTGATTCGTTGAAAGCAGAGAAACTGTTAGGGACGAGATCGCGTCCACGAGGGTCGTCTTTTATCGTTTTAATCGATATACCGGAATATTACTTTTGGCTTGTGATACCTAAACGCGATGGCGTTTAACGTCTACTCCGTTGCGTACCTGACTCTTGGCGGCATCTCCGATCAGCCTTTCCGAGTCCGTGAACGCCACGTAGCTGGGTGTCGTCCGATTTCCCTGGTCGTTGGCGATGATTTCCACTTTTCCGTGCTGCCACACCCCCACACACGAGTAAGTGGTGCCCAGATCTATGCCCACGGCTGGTATTTTGGTCATTTTTCAAAATGGCTTATGAAACGAAAACGAAAACGGATAAACGAGGTGTTATCACACGGCCGGAGCGAGCTAAACAAAATAAAATGCGTAACGGTCACTTGACTGTTGAAGTGTCGGAGAAAACGCATACAAAGCCGAACACACGGTATTTATATACTTCTGGCCACCACTTCTCTCCGCCAGATCATTTATAGACCAGAACCACGCCCACGACCGAATGTATGTTTTTATTCAACATAAACCATTCGTAACTTTTTTAAAAACACAAACATTGTATTATTAATATTATTATTTTATAACCATATTATTTAAAGATACCCTTGTAAACTGCAGTGGCCATTGGGAGAAAAAACATTATCACGTTTGTACTTATGTTAACTACCAGTTATGCGTATAGAACCAAGTGCAGTCGATTTACGATTTGTATTTTAAAACTAACACAAGTACTTACTTGTGTCTCATTTGTCACTGTATACTATATCATTAAATACTCGTTGTCGAAAAATATTATAATAATAATAATAGAGGAGTCAAAGAGTCTTTGATATTATGAGAGGTGGGTCGAAATATTCAAAGTTTGAATGATCAAACCGATCTTTAGGCTTTCGGTTTGAGTTCAAAAGTCACACCGAGCTTTAAAAAACCCGAACCGAACACGAACGAAATGTTTTAAATTCTATAATTAATTCGTTAGGTTGGTAATAAATAATTACCAAAAAAGTTCGTACCAGAAATGCTCCTAATAATATCTAAGTATTGTTAAATATTAAATAATATATTTTTATTCGCTCCCCGACAAAATCCGGATTTTTGCTGTTTTACCTATTAACTAAAAAAATGATTAAACTCGTGAAATTAACGAAAACAAAATTTTGAAAGGTCAACATATGCGTAAGAATAAACTCTACAAAATGGTTATCTTCGATTGGTTTAAAATAAAAAAAATAAAATACATATTTTTTACTTTTTTACCAAAAAATATAATTAAATTTTAAAAAAAGGCGGGTAAGTGTATGTCGCTTTGCTGTACAATAAGTGTCTAAGAGGTCGCTGTAATGGATGGCATTAAATTTGAATTCAACGCTATTAAACCATTGCATACGAAAAACGATTCTGAGCAGAGACGGTATGTCAGTTTAGGATATTTTATATTTTTATTACTTATTATTAATATGGTAGTTGGTAAGTTCAATTAATACTATCCTTAAATTATCAGTGATGTTGAAAAAATATTAAATATACCTATGTGCTGTTTTGGAACCGAATTACAAGAAAATGATAACCATTATTCTTTGCGTTAATATGCGATTTTGTCCAAATTTGAACTTAAAATGTCTGTAAAAAATAACTGTATTCGTGATATATTTTAGATTTATTATTTATGGAAAAAGCTGCTTAAGTGGAACCTTGTTTTAAATTTTCAATCCTTAGCTATAAAAATTGTACATTTTATACATTTTTAACTACAAAATCATTTTCAATCTTCAACTTGATAAATATTGTCAACATTTGAACTTTAAATGCTTATAAAAAAAAAAATCTTGCCTATGTATTTTTAATATTTTTCAATTGCTATTGTAACAAGTTATCAAGTCATGTATTAAAGTTTCATGTTTTTTCACCCAACAAATAAAATTTTATTGGCATTTATAGAAGAAAAAAATGAAAATTGAAAATGTCCGTCAACAACCTAAAACGAGACAGAATATTTTGAAAATGTTATCAAGTTTATGAATTAATAAAATAAACATTTGGTGTAAATTTCAAGTGTCTACGGTTATTTGTTTTTGAATTAAAACAAAATAAGAAAATCGTTGCAATAGAAATCGAGTGAATATCCAATATTGTAAAAATTTAAACTTCAAACGCTCATAAAAATTGAATTTGACTTTCCGGTAGGAATTTTTTTTTTGATAAATTTATACCAACTTGTAAGAAATCTCATATTAAATTTTTAGATCTTAGATATAAAATAGAAAAAATTTTATGAATTTCTAACTAAATATAATTTGCTCATTTTCATGATTTTTGCGAATTTTGTCAAAACTCTAAGTTTAAACATTCATAAAAAATTATTGTGGATTTATGCTCAACTCTTTTTTAAATTTCCATTATTAATAGCTTACAAGGAACCTTGTATTACATTTTCAAGTTGTTGACCGAGCGTAAATTTTTTTATTGACTTGGGTTTAAAAAAAAAACAAATAACATTTTGAAAATTTTATGGTGTACAGAAAATGCTTACACAAATATCAAGTGGTAATTTCATGTATCTACAGTCATTTTTGTTAGAGTCCTACAAAAAACCAAAATCGATTTTTTCGAAAAATGGTCTTGCTTAAAAATTTCCATTTTTTCTTAATCCTTTGTTTTGTTTTTCCTGTAGCTTTTGAAAACTATCGAGAATTTTAAATGTTGACCCCCCGAATGCACCAACTAGATACACTTTCCTACCAGAGACAGTGCTATTTAAGAAAATCGAAACCGTGAACACAAAAAAAAACATAAAAACACACATCATTGTAAAATCAACACATTCATCGCTCCGCTCAAAATCTAAAATAAATTATAAGTAGGGCTGTGAATTCATAGGAAAGTGCATTTTTTTTTGGTGAATGTAAGATATAGCTTTGTGAGTACATAATTTGAATTACGTAATAACGAATCCATCTATGAAACTTTTATTTTGCATATTTTTGCATTTTTTGACGTTTTTAGTCATTTTTTCGCATTTTTAGGTGTTTGAAAACATTTTTATTTTATTTTACGCGGGCTGTACCTATATATTATGTCAAATTTATATTTTATTAAATAATATTTTACACAAGTCACACGCTATATACGGATTAGGTAAAGATAACGATTCGACAAAATAAGGCAATTGCTAGACAACTAGATAACTTAGATAAGTTATTGTGGCATATCGTCAAATCAAATTCAATCAACATTTTTATTATTATTTTTTTTTTTTTTAAATACTTTTTAAACACTTTATTGTACTAATGTTTAATATAAAGTATCCAATATTAATATAAATATAATTTTTGGCATTTTATATTCCTTTTTTTTGCATTTTGAGTGCATATTTTGCATTTTAAGTGCATATTTTATTGCATATTTTTGACATTTTTAATACATTTTTAAAGGTTTTTTAGTGCATTAAATTCACAGCCCTAATTATAAGTAATCTTTGTATCTGTGAGTCTAGGAAAAAAAACAGATTTATGATATATTTATTACTTCGGGAGATATCGCAATAGGTAAATCCTCTAGGGACACCCAGTATAGTATAAATACTATTCACCCATATTCTAAATTAGTTTATTTGTACTTACTTTTAATGTGGAGAGTAGAATATTAAGCACACTATATTGTCCGGGTATCGATAATTTATAGATTTTCAATATAATTATATTGGATTTGTATTATTTATAATAAATATCGTTTCCGGTTCATTAACTTAAAATACTGTTTCTTTTGGTATTGATTTTAACCAATGTCCAATTTTAGTGGGTATAACAAATATAATTTTCGGAAAAATGCCTAAAGTACTCTCGATGGCATCAGTCTTCAAAGACCAAAGGAAGGAAATAATGTTTAAGCATATCGCTTATCAATAATAATCATTGTTTTAACTAAAATTCGTTGACGTATAAGATACCAACTATGTATAATAATATACAAAGTACCAAATATCGTGGGGGAACATGTGGGAGGGGGGAATGGACACGAGTGCTCTGAAAATATAGGTTTAGACTTAAATTTCTTAAATATTGAAACAAAGATTTCGCTGGGTTCCAATATTTTCACAAGGTTCCAGTTCCATACTGATTATTTTCTCATGTTTCCAACCTCCGACTTTCCTTTTATCCCTGAAATCTCTGATAAATATTGTAAAAAAGGAAATGTATATATTATGGAGGTGCGTTGTACACTTATCTTACGTACAATACCAAGTGTCTGGTCCATGGATGTATTGATAAAAAATGTCTTGTGTATACGCCATATTTTTTTTAATGTATCTTAAAAATGTTTTTCTCACTACACTCGACACTTGTTCTATATATCTATACCAGAAAATTTTTTTCGCTCCTCTCGAAAAATAGTGTACATAAATATAACATTTATCATTATTCTTACTTCATTATCAGTATGAACCAACAATTTTTTTAAATATAAAATCCATAAATATGTTGAAAATATTATTTTTATTTTTACACTATATAGAATTTAAAAGAACAATTATTTCAAATCTTCAAAAACAATTAGTAAAATAATACACGCTTTTACATTTACCTCCATCCACCGTATACCCACCGTATACCCACCGTATACCCACCGTATACTTATAAAATAAATATTTTTTTCAATTATACGCATTTCTTTGTTAATATTGTAATGAGTAAACGCCGTATACTCCCGTATACGCTCTAATACACCACTGGTCTGGTCTAAAGGTGCCGGATGAACATTTCTGCACTTCATTGCAACCAATGTATACTAAAAACAACTTTTTTTTAAAATTAATGTCTTTTTCGAGTAGAATATGATCTTTTTGTATAAGTTAAAAATGCAAATAGTAGTACTAGTAAGTATAGTGGAGGATAATTGTATTGATTGTTGTCATAATTACTTTGACCATTTCGCTCACGGAAATCTAGAAACGTTGAACACAACCATGGTAGCTGCGGTAGGTACCTATTTGATAATAATATACAATATTGAAACAATAAAACTGAATAACTACTTATTGCTGTAGACAGTAGACGCAAGCACTTAAACAGGAAATGAAAACCAACATCTCTATAAATCAATACACAATTTAATGACTGGTTTGAGTACTGTTACATAATTTCTCACTATACTTACTCATTAAAAGTATAATAATAATATTAATTATAACACTTTGCAGGAGAAAATATCAGTCATTTAATTATTTATCATTAGGAATATCTTGTTTCTTGTTATTTATCGATACAGGCATTAAACTTTTCTAAGTATATTATACACCTATATTTTAATTATTTAGAAAAACGAGCAAACGATGTGACCCTTTAAGCAAAGACAAAATTAGCAAATTGTGAATGATTCGATAATAATATCCACGCGAGGAAATATTTCGCAGTACCCAACTTCCCCCCCCC